ATAGTGAAGCAAGAGATCAGGGCAGGCGGCGGCGTTTATAAAGAGTCGTATCACAGGCTGAAGGTTGAGGAGGGCAAAGAAAAGAAGCCAATGGACGGGTCGGTGTCCTAAGCCGGCAAGAGTATCGGAATGGGAACTTTTTGCAGTGAGCAAAACCGGTACCTGCTGCAGAGTGCCACCCGAGGGGCATGGGGCAGCGTTCCGGCACTGCAGTACCTGATATCAGCCAGCGGAGGGTGTGAGTGCACCTCTATAGACAGTGTGCCCAGCCACATAGGAGAAAGAATCCCTCCATAGAAGTCAAAGAGATCACGTGAAATCTTGTTTTCATAGCCCTGATGAAGTGTGGGGGGGGGGTGCGACCCCCCGAAGCGTGTTGGTATTATCTTCTGAACCCCTGCTTGTGAGGAAATACACCTTTACAGGACTGGATCTAGCCCAGGGGTGCCTGGGGAGCCGTGGCTGTCAGAGTCTTGCAATGCCTCCTGGTTCCACAGCAGCTGAGGTTACCCACCCCTGCTCTAGATCCTCCTCCTTTTATATACTCCTTGGACTACTCTGGGGATCCCGAGGACAGAGAGCAGCCTCCAAAAGCTGCATTTTACTTACTTTTTCAGGTCCACCGTCCTTCCAACTAGTCTTTTATCATCCATAGGAATCAAGTGACGGCCAATGGGAGCCGAGCCTGCCAGGTTCAGAAGAGATCAGCGCTCAGATCACCCATTGTAGCCTGAAAATAAGAAAAAGGACAATATGAGGCACCACGAAGTGAAAGGCTTTGTTGTTATTTGTCATTTTATTATCAGTTTACCATTATTCATTCCTGACTTGATCATTAAAGTAGACGTACACCCAATAAATGGCACTGAGTTTGCTAAAGCTCTGTGTATCATGAACAAATGCCTTTTTTTAAATAAAATCATATCGCTATGTTGAGTCTCAGTGCTGCTGATCTCCTGCAACCTCTTTGCAGCCACTTCATGTCTACATTCACTCCAGCGGAGGCTGCACGGCATTCCTCAGGGCGGGTTCCTTGGAGGTGACAACACTGAACCATGTCTGTGTAATGTGTATTGATCTTCTGCAGCCACTTCCTGTCTACATGCACTCCAGCGGTGGCTGCACGGCATTCCTCAGGGCGGGTTCCTTGGAGGTGACAACACTGAACCATGTCTGTGTAATGTGTATTGATCTTCTGCAGCCACTCCCTGTCTACATTCACTCCAGAGGAGGCTGCACGGCATTCCTCAGGGCGGGTTCCTTGGAGGTGACAACACTGAACCATGTCTGTGTAATGTGTACTGATCTCCTGCAGCCACTTCCTGTCTACATGCACTCCAGCGGAGGCTGCATGGCATTCCTCAGTGCGGGTTTCCTGGCGGTGACAACAGTGGACCATGGCTGTGCAATGTGTGCCGAAACAGTCTCTTGTAGTCCCCATTGGAAGGTCGTGTGCCAATCAAAGACAACGGTAACAGCCTAGAATTTAATATTCCGCCAGGTCCCATCGTTCCATCCCAAAGTGGAATTGAACTCAACTTTCCACCAATCAATAGTAGATTATACATACTCCATGCAGATACTATTCATGAGTTATAGCTATTCCTATTAGCGCTGACATCACTCGCACATGCTCAGTTGGTTATACATTCACGGCATCCTGACTGTGCAGAGATCTTGCGACTGACGTGGCGCAATAATTCCGGGGTTGGCTCTGCTTATCTCATGGAAACATCATGTGACTAGTGACATCACAGGGGTCTCCACTCCACCTTGGCACCATGGCAACCTGGAATCCAAAGTGAGGCCTGGATATCTTTGGTCTGCATATGTGTGGGATTTATGGCTGAGGGCGGAATCATCGTTATGTGCAGCAAACGCCGTAAATCTTCCAAGATGGCGCCGCCTTCATCGGTAACAGGGAGGAGAAAAGGCTTACAACAAAAAACACATGGGGGGTGGCTCAATAGACCATTTGAAACACTTTTCTGGTGGTAGGGTCCCTTTAAATTCATGAAAGCCTTGCAACAATTTCATTAAGTGTTCCGACACGCGCGACAGATTCACGTAGTTCTTATTTGCGCCGCTTTCACAATGTGTTGCCATGGCTACGACAAATTCAAAAAGACAATACCGCTAGTTCACAGGTAACAAAATGGAGGAAGTGAAGACAATAATAAGAGACAGCGACAGGACAGCTTCCTCCCCAGAACTCATTGGTTGCTAGGCCTCTGGTGTCCTAGCAACCAGTGATACATCCCCTGCCGGACTAGAGATTCCACGACTCACATTGGAATGTTAACTGCAATGGCCATATTTGGTTAATGATGTCAGCACAATGCCCGCACCTTTGTTTACATTCAGCTGTTGCCTGGGGAATCTCCAGACTGGAGGATGTGTCATTGGTTGCTAGGATGCTGTTAGCTGCACAGTCGGGGGCACACTGGAGGGCTTCAGCTGCCATTGTGTCGTGCTGGGCTTCTGGTGTGTCCCTGTGCCTTTAAGGAGGAATGGGCTACCACCTGGTGAACCTGCACCCAATTTATCCTTTGCTATATATGCTCCAAGATGGCGCCTGACGAGGCCGTGCGGCTTCCACATAATCTGCAAAGTCTGTGCAACTAAAACCTCAGTTTTTAACCATAATACGGTAGTTAGACAGCGTCATTTGTTATTTGCAGGCAGGCTGGTGCGTGTGTTGGGAAATTTTTGCTGTTGCGGAGCCGACAGCATCATAGCAACCAATTACGCTGCACAGCCAACAGCATCATAGCAACCAATTACGCTGCACAGCCAACAGCATCCTAGCGACCAATGACACTGTGCAGCCAACAGCATCCTAGCAACTAATGACACTGTCCAGCCGACAGCATCCTAGCAACCAATGACACTGTGCAGCCGACAGCATCCTAGCAACCAATGACACTGTCCAGCCAACAGCATCCTAGCAACCAATGACATTGTGCAGCCGACAGCATCCTAGCAACCAATGACACTGTTCAGCCGACAGCATCCTAGCAACCAATGACACTGTGCAGCCGACAGCATCCTAGCAACCAGTGACACTGTCCAGCCGACAGCATCCTTGCAACCAATGCCACTGTGCAGCCGACAGCATCCTAGCAACCAATGATACTGTGCAGCCGACAGAATCCTAGCAACCAATGACACTGTGCAGCCGACAGCATCCTAGCAACCAATGACACTGTACAGCCGACAGCATCCTAGCAACCAGGTACATGAATCTGTCACAGACGCTGACATTTGTTGTGCGGAGGTGTGATAAAATCCTATAGAGTGTCTGTGACACTTGCATTGCGGTCAGGGCTTGATTTCCCACAAGGCCAACTACGGCCCGGCCTCAGGGCGGCAGGGAGCAGATGGACGGCAGGAGTGTGGAATTCCTATCTCCCAAAGCCGGGGACATGAAGTTCCGGCCACCGTGCTGGTTGTTGTTTTCTACAGCGGGGAAGCCGCCGGTTCTTTTTCAAGTGATCGCCGAGATCACTTGTATGCAGCCTGCAGGTCTGTCTCCCCATGGCTACCTCTCTCCCCGCCGGCCGCCTCTCTCTCAGGAGATGGAGATCTTCAGGGTGATGAGTAGGGAGCACAGCAGAGAACGTCCATTCTCCGATCTGCTCCGTGTAAAACAGTCACTGGAGAGCCAGCACAGTGCTGTGCTAGAACTCCTGTATTGGAGGTGACAGTTTCAATAAAGAGAACCTGTTTAATTACAATGCTATCACACAGGGGATTGTTAGCTCCTGTGTGATAGCAATAAAGTTAAGTGAAATAAAAAAGTTAAGAAAAAATTGATAAAAATTATAAAATGTAAAAAATAAGAAGAAATGATAATTAAAATAAATAGGTGATCAAAAGTAAAAAATATTAAGATTAAAAAAAATTAGGGATGCACCGATACCGATACTAGTATCGGTATCGGTGCCGATACCAAGTATTTGGGTGAGTACTCGTACTCGCCCAAATGCTCCGATACCTAGCACGAGTACTTCCTGTATCAGGAAGCCGGGCAGCGCATCATTACACGCTGCCCGGTTTCCTGATTGGCCCAGGAAACGGCTCCGTGCTCTCTCGTCACTTGTGATGAGAGAGCATGCAGCCGACTTCCCGGCCAATCAGGAAGCCGGGTAGCGTGCAATGACGCGCTGCCCGGCTTCCCGATTGGTCAGGAAGCTAGCAAATCCGGAAGCGCCGTGTAATGACGCAGCGCCCGGCATTCTGATTGGCCCGGGAAGCCGGCGTCAGGCTCCTTCATCATCTCACGAATCATAATATTAAGAAAGTGACCATAAAGCATTAGTTTGTATTGCTTTAGAAAAAAATTGACCTGTCCCTTTAAGAAAAAGTATTGGTAATTGGTATCGGCGAGTACTCGATCTAAAGTATCGGTACTCGTACTCGGTCTTAAAAAAGTGGTATCGGTGCATCCCTAAAAAAAATATAAAAGATATTAAGATAAATAAAAATGTAAAAAAGTAAAAAAGGCCACCATTTATATGTTTATTGGGATCAATTTATGAGTTGCGAGAACGTCTGTGTTACCTCGAAGCACAGTACATGCGTTGACGTGCTCACATGCGCTTTATTTTGAATAGCACCTCTCAATGCGTGACAACGCATGGTGATTTTTGGGACATTTTGTTGCGTTGGCAACCCAATATTTTCCAATCACACACATTAACGTCGATGGGCCATAGTGTTATTGAACACGTGTAATTCCACACACAGCCCCTCATATAACTCCGCCGCCGTCCCCCACCCACTATTTCCAGCTCCATAATCTACATCACTATGTCCGCTCTCTATTCATAGCCCCATCGGCCTTTGTCAGGACCGGCATGCACCGCGCCATGCCCTATTTAGCATACCGGGGGCGCGACCCCTTTTCTCTGAGCCAATCACGATGCTCCTGACGTCTCCCCGGCTCGTTCCATCGCCGCAGGAAAAGGAGTGTGCGCGATTCGCCCAATCGGCGGGCGCCCCGTGCGTGACGTCACCGTCCGTATAAAAGCTCCCAGCACGGGCGTTCTCTCTTCTTTCTCTTCCAGTTTCCCCGGGTGAAAGTGAACAGGGTGCGTGTATGTGGTGGTAGGGCACCGGGCGATCTTAGGGGGGCATCGGCTTCTAATGTCTCATTGGACTGCTTTGTAACCATTCACATGCTCCCCGGCTCTTGTGTTCCTGCAGCAGCTGATTACCTCCATTTTTTTGGAATGGTTGCCATTTGCGTGCAATCAGTTACAATAGTATTTTGGTATTTGAACTTTTTTAACCGGGGCTAGGCAGGAGAGGCATCTGCCTCGGGGGTCTTTAGCAAGAGCCGGGCACATAAATGGCATAACCTGGTGCTGCTGTAGTAGTTTGCAGCTCATGTGGGTGGGGGGGCACTTTGCCTTAAGTTCTAAGCAGGGCTTGTCCCGGCATGGCTTTCAAAACCTGCACGCGATGGCGCTTCCAGGACGGTACGTCAGCGGAGATGCGGACTATGAAGCCTTGCGTCCCCCCTGGCGTGCAGTGAAGTTTTTCTTTTTCCGCACCTCTCTATGGACAGAGCCCCCGTCCAGAAGTGTGCATGTGCTTACTAGCCCTTGCGGCTCTGGTGCGGGTGTCAATGGGCGATGTTCCCCTAGTCATTGTGTCCCAGGATGTGTTGGTACTTGTCCACTTTGTCATGTGTTCTGACTTTTTTTTTTTTTTTTTTCCCCTCTATAGAATGGCTGCCAACAAGGAACGCACCTTCATCGCCATCAAGCCAGATGGTGTCCAGAGAGGACTCATCGGGGATATCATCAAACGGTTCGAGCAGAAGGGCTTCCAGTTGGTGGCTATGAAGTATCAGCAGGTGATTGATGGCTTTAGTGCTGGCTGTTGTCTACTGTGTCTTGGTCTGCATCCAATGCTGAGGGTGTGATAGGACAGGGTTGTCCTGCACAATGGAAGTCGGGGGAGGGGATATATTGATGTGGTAGCCCCACTAGTGATCTGATCTAGTTCTTTGGAAGGTGGGGCGGATGTGGTAGCCCACCAGTCTGTCCTTTTGGAAGGTAGGGGAGATGCGGTAGCCCACCAGTCTGTCCTTTTGGAAGGTAGGGGAGATGCGGTAGCCCACCAGTCTTTCCTTTGGAAGGGGGGGATGCTGTAGCCCACCGTCTGTCCTTTGGAAGGGGGGAGATGCGGTAGCCCCACCAGTCTGTCCTTTGGAAGGGGGGGGTGTGCGGTAGCCCCCCAGTCTGTCCTTTGGAAGGGGGGGCGTGCGGTAGCCCCCCAGTCTGTCCTTTTGGAAGGTAGGGGAGATGCGGTAGCCCACCAGTCTGTCCTTTTGGAAGGTAGGGGAGATGCGGTAGCCCACCAGTCTGTCCTTTTGGAAGGTAGGGACTGCAGGCTCCTGGATTGGGTAGAGTGGCTCCTGAATTCCATAGTTGTCCATCTTTGGTGCCATCTAAGGGCTGGGTACCCACTGCTGGGTTTATAATGCCTGCGCTACGTCAGGGCATTATTGCTATAGCTGAGCTCGGTGTATAGACTCGTATTATGACTTAATGGGCTTTTTCCATTTAGACATTGCCGAGCGCTGTACACTTTGGGCACATTTTAGGACAGATCTGAAATTCTGAGCGTTCCCGTGGTCAGTAATTTGCCCGCTTGGCTTTATTACCCGCATTGTTTCTGCCTTGTATTGGGCTAATCAGCTCTAACGACAATGTATTATAAGCTGAGAGCAGTTCAGACGCTTTGCGCGTTCACTAATTGGTCATTTCCTGCCACTTATACTCGTCCCCCCCATCTGCCCGTCACCAGGCTGCCCATTGAGGATCTCCAGCCGCCACCTCCAGGTCTTCAGATGTCGGGAATGGACGAGGCGCTCTGATATTTCGGGGTTGGCCTCGGCCGGGTATCATGGTGTACAGTGAATGCTCGGTCTCTTCGTGGTGTGATTTTCTCTTCTCTGACCTTGAGGTTTAATCTCCTACATAATCTGCTACTACTAAAAGGCCGGGTGAGGACCTCCCATGGTGTGCGGCTTGACCTTGCATTGGGCTCTGCACTCGGCTTCTTTGTGTGCTGTGAGGAGCTTTAATTTCCGGGTTTGCATAAGAAACTTGACTCTCGGCTCTTGACTTCTGGTTAACGCTTTCCAGGCGGTCTGGGTGCAGCTGTTGCCGGCTCAGATTGGGTTTACCTCTCGTCCGTTCCGCCTGGTGAATATCTATTTTGTAATTTGGATTATGTTGCATTCAGTGGTTTGATTGGTCAAACTTTTTTTTTTTTTGTAGAACTACACAGTACAGTAAAGCGGTCCCTGTCCTCCAGTGGGGTCAGAGTTGGCTTTCGGTGGGTCACTGCTTATTGCTTTAGGTCCTTGAGGTGTACCTGTATCTGATAATGGAGCTTCTGGATTGTTACTAGTGGGCATTACTTGGGTCCTCAGACTTGCAGGGCCTTGGCTGTGCCCCAGAAGTCGAGTGGTCCTGCGCTAGCTTCAGCTCACAGTTGAGGGGACATTGCACAATGCATTGCAAGTGTTTTATAGCGATGAGATCCCGGCTTTGCATCCTGTAAATGGTACAGAAGCTGCTTGGTCATCTGCAGCAAAGCCAGGTTGAAATTTGTAGCTGCAGAAACTGAGTGGTACTTGTGATCACTTGAGGTTAGTTTCCCTTCAGATCCTCTGTGGCTGCTGGGACAAAGGTGAAATCTC